ACGACGCTGAGCTTTCAGGAAACGGCTAATGGCAATGCTCTTTCCATCTTCCCTGTGCTTTGAGAGCCTCAACAGCCATCATTAGCAAGTCTGCAAGCGCACCCTGAAACCTCTCAGGATTACGCCCCCTTCAGAGCAGAGATCAACTGCCCACATCCGCCTTCCCCTGCACTCCACACTCTTCATTGGTGAGAAGGTCAAAACAGGCATTGAAAACTCAAAGGGGTACTCTGCTGGACTTAATTTCGCTAATGAAGGCACATATAAAAATCTAAATTAATGTCTACAGCTTGATTACAAAGTCTCTGTCAGCAGAGAGTCTAAACGTTGTATTACTTCAGGACAGTAAAATAGCACGTTCAGAAAAAAAGAATACGTCATAAAACTTATTTTGAAAAGAACACATTGGTAGTCACTACCACAGGAAGCCACATTCCAGATCTGCGCACGCACACACACGCACACACGCACGCACACCCCTCTGGAACATTCTACTAGACTTACTGAACCATCGGATGCACTGGCTCCAACTTTGTCTCCCGCTGCATTCCAGCAAACCTCGAAGATTCCACCTGTTCCCCTGTAGCTGTGGACTAGAGCACCTGTCTAAAAAGGGACAGAATATTAAAATCATCGTACATGCACTACAAACCCAAACAATGGTAAGAAATGACACATGGCTTTATTTCTAGCAATCAAAGATGGGACTTCTTTTAGTTTCGGCTCCAAAATAAGGACAAGTTCTGAGAGGGGAGAAACGTGGAATGATCTACAAATGACCGCCCCGGACTGATAGTGAACGCTCTCCCCTGTCGATACCACTGTTAACTACGCTGTCCTCAGACGCAGCTCACCCCAGCCAGGGTGAATGTTCAGCATGACATGAAATAAACGTTTGCTGTTGGTGAAGGGTATAAGAGTTTAGTCAACGTGTAGAGAAACCAAATATATTCAGAATTTTTTTGCCAAGAGAGCCTAAAGAAATAGTATATGAAACCAGTTAAAAATAAATAAATAACTATAAGTCTACAATTTACTACGTATTTTCTGAATAGTTCCTAAGCTAGGAGCTAAAAAGAATAAGACATGTATGTTATTCTTAGAAGAGTTTATACATTTACAGGAAAAAATGTGGAAACACTAACAATTTCACCATTAAGATCATTCGCCTGGCCCTGCAACAGTAAAGTTCGGTCCGAACATATTTTCTACAGACCAGTCATTAAGCAGAGGCTGTGCTGCGAGGGTGGGGGACAATGAAAAGGCTGTGCTTCTGGTGCTCTGTCTACGGGAGCGCAGAAATGAGCCCCGCGGCCTCAGACAATCCAGCCAGAGGTCGGAGGCCGGCTGGGACACTCCAGCCAGAGGTCGGAGACCGGCTAGGACACCACAGGGTCTAGAGCTCTGTGGGGTAGGAGGCCAGCTAGGACACTGCGGGGCAGGCTGCGCCTCGCAGAGGCCTTCTCCGCACAGAGCCCGTCAGCTGCCAGGTGCAGACCACGTCCCTCGCTCCACTCTTCAAGCTCAGGCAGGCGATGTCGCACACACCGCTCCACCACCACGCGGTCGAACTGGGAGGTCCCACCCTGGACGAGCGTCCTGGTTTGTGAGGACGATGAGGGAGTCTGAGCAGAGGCAGCCTCTGGCATCTGCCGC